CACACGCCATCCCCAAGGCTGCGTGTCCACAGGGGTGCACAGGATCCCATCCCTGTCCCCATTCCCAGGTAGGCGTGGAGGACCCCATCCCTAGACATATTCCCACTGGCACAACCCATGGGCCTTTTGGGGTCTCTGGGACCCAGAGCTGTTCCCCAGCCCTGAGCCAGGGGACAGCCCAGCAGGGCTCCTTGGTGTCCCTAACCCTTGTCTTGCCCCACAGCCTGGCCCTGGTCCCCAGCTCGTGGATGATCCCAGCCAGCACCTCCTGGGAGCAGATGGGCTTCCCCGGCACCACGCCTGAGCCCTGGTGACACCCCCAGGAACAGCCCCGGGACAGATGGGACATGCCAGGAAGGCTCTACCAGTGCCACCCAGGAGGCTCAGGACTCTGAGCCAGGCCTGCTGTGCCCAGCTCTGGGGCAGGATGCGACCCAGGGCTGGTTTTTACTCTTTTGTAAGGAAATACAGGGGTCCTGGCTGTCATTTTGGGGTGTTGGGCTCTGTGTGTGGTGCTGGGGGGGACAGCGCCAGCCAAAATGGGAGGCACAAGTGGGGATAGTTCCTCCCAATGGCTGTGCCTGGGGCTGATTCTGTCCCCCTGCAGAGCCCCGTCTCGCCACATGAGCCCTGTCCCCACCATGCCCATTGCGGGGCTGCTCCTGTCCCATATACCTCCCAGCTGTCCCTGCTGGGACTGATCCTGTCCCCCTGCACAGCCCCTGTCACCCTACATGGTCCCTGTCCCTTGCACATCCCCTGTCCCTGCTGGGACTGATCTGTCCCCCTGCACAGCCCCTGTCACCCTACATGGTCCCTGTCCCTTGCACATCCCCTGTCCCCTCCCTGTGCCTTGCAGGACTGATCCTGTCATTGATCCCTCAGATGTCCCTTGTGGGGACAGGCAGCTCCTGGCCCCTGTCCCCCTAGTTGTTTCTGTTGGCACTGATCCTGTCCCCCCACATAACCCCTGTCCCTTGTAGGACTGATCCTGTCCCACATCTCTCAGGTGTCCCTGCTGGGGCTAATCCTGTTTCCCCCATGTTCCTTGTGGGGCTGATCCTGTCCTGGACCAGACAGATCCTGTCCCCTGCCTCGCCATCCTCATCAACCCAGCATGTCCTGTGTCCCCCTGTGTCCCTTGGACTGATCCTGCCCCCCCGGACCAGACAGATCCTGACCCCGCACACCATCCTCATCACCCACCACGTCCCCTGTCCCCCCGGGGTCGGTGCCATGACCCCTCGGGGGGCTGCGGGGGGTCCCCGGGGGGGCGTGGCCAGTGTGAAAGGGGCGTGGCCGAGGCCAAAGGGGCGTGGTCGGTACTTGGTTACATTGTATCCGCCTTCCGGGTCGGGACCAGCCGAGACGAGCTTAACCCGGACCGAGCCTAACGGGGCCGGGACCAGCCGAACCCCAGCGGGCCGAGCCTAACAGGGCCAGGAGCAGCCAAACTCGCTCGGGCCGAGCCGAACGGAGCCGGGAATAGCCAAATCGGCTCGGGCCGAGCCGATCCCCTCCGGGCCATGGGGCAGATCGAGTGGGCCATGTGGGCGAACGAGCAGGCACTCGCCGCCGGGCTCAGTGAGTTGCGCGGGGCCGAGAGGGGCCGGGAGTACCGGGGCCGGCCGGGGGATGGGGACCCGGGAGCTGGAGGGAGTGAGACCCCGGCGGGCTTGGAGTGCTGAGCCCCGGGGGTACTGAGCCCCGAGGCCTCCCCAGACACGGCCTCGAGGGATGGGAGGGTCCTGGTCCCGCCGACCAAGCGTTGGGGGCTGCCGGGGGTGCAGGCGGGAGGCGCCGGAACGGCCGGGAAGTCCCGTCCCAGCGGGGGATGCGCAGGGCTGAAAACTCCGCTTCCTCCTTTTCTCTTCCTCCTCTGCCCTCTCTCGCTCCTCTCCTCCTCCGCTCTCCTCTCTTCCGCCGGCTACGGGGCCAAAAACCTCCCCGCAAAGTCCCCAAAGCCTGGAGCTCCCCAGTTGCCTGAATCCCGTGGGTCTCGCACACAACATCTGCCTGGCACCCCACTTGTCAAAGCCCCCTGGGGCCATGGAGACACCCATTTTCCTTCCCTCAGTCCAAGGAATCCTACGTCAGGTCCTCAGGGATCCCCATGTCCCAGGCTTGGGGTATTTTATGTTGGGCATTTGTATCCTGAGTTTGGGGGTCTGTATCCTGGGTTTGAGTGTTTGTATCCCGGGCTGGGGGGTTGTATCCCGGGCTAGGGGTCCGTATCCTGCCCTGGGGGTCGTGTCATGGGCCGGACCCCTCCATCCCGCGCTGTCTCCTCAGTCCTGGTGACGGGCGGGATCGTGGCCGTGGCGGGGCAGTTCAAGGGCTGGTACTTCGCTGCGTACTCCATGTATCCTTCCCGAGAGCATTCCCGGGGCTGGGCGGCAGGAAAACCCTGTCCTGATGGGGGTGGGAAGCACAAACGGGGGGAATCACATCCTCCTCCTCCCCACTCTGGTCCCAGATCGTGCTTTTCCTGCCCCAAACAGCCCCTTCTTGGGGTGAAGGTTGTGCCTTGGGACTATTCCCACTGCGATCCCCCCTTTCCTTGACCCCATGGCAGTGCGGCAGGCGTCCTGGTCTGCCTGCTCGAGTATCCCAGGAGCAAGAGGAAAAAGGGCTCCACCATGGAGAGGTGGTAAGTGGTGGGTCCCCCTCCCTCACCCCTGGGTTTGGGGTTCTGGTACCCCCCAAACAAAGGGATGTGACACCAGGACTGGGAGTGGTGGGGTGGGAGCAGAGCTGGATCCCACAGGGGGGGTTCCTTGGGGTGTTCCATGCAGGACAGCATGGAAATGGGGGTCCCTGGATGGGGATACCTCCTCTGACCCCCCAGTGTTGCTCTGCAGTGGCCAGAAGTACATGACAGCTGTGGTGAAGCTGTTTGGGCCCCTGACCAGGAATTACTACATCCGAGCCATCCTTCACGCTGCGTAAGTGGGATATGGGCTCAGGGATGGGGTCCAGCCCCCCCGACACGTCCCTGAACCCTGAATCTCTCCTCCAGCCTGGCTGTCCCCGCCGGTTTCCTCCTCTCCACCATCCTGGGCACCGTCTGCCTGGGCATTGCCAGTGGCATCTACCTGCTGGTGAGTGCAGGGAGGGTTTGGGGGAGTCTTTTGGGGGGACTGGGAGGAGGATGAGACCCCCCCCCTGACACCCCCATGGCTTCACAGGCCGCAGTGCGTGGGGAGGAGTGGAGACCCATTGAGCAGAAGCCCCGGGAGCGGCCGCAAATGGGGGGCACCTTCAAGCAGCCCCCCAGCAACCCCCCGCCCCGGCCCCCCGCCGACGCCCGCAAGAAGCAGCCGGCAGAGGTGGGGGGGCAGGTGAACCCCATCCCTGTGGAGGCTGAGTAACGGGGGGACCTGCCTGCCCTGCTCTGCTGCTCCTGCTCCTGCTTCCCAGCTGCTTCCCAGATTCACTGTGGGAAATGGGGGCCCAGCTCCAGGAGGTCCCCAAGGCCCTGGTGCTGCTCAGCTTATCCCCAGCTCCTGGCGATGCTCAGATCCCTGAGGATCATCAGTTCTCCCTGGGCTCCCCAGCTCTCCAAAGCATTCCCAAATCCTCAGGGGTGCTTAGTTCCCTGTGGGGTCTCCAGCCCTCAGGGGCTCCCCAGCTTCTGGAGATCTCCAAATCCCTGGGAATGCTGAGCTTCTCAGGACTCTATTCAGCTCCCAGGGCTCCTCGAATTCCCAGCCATGCGATGCTCCCTGTGGAGTCTCCAGCTCCCAGGGGCTCCTGGAGATCCCCAAATTCCTGGGGATGCTCAGCTTCTTGTGGGGTCTGCAGCCCCTCAGGGCTTTCCAGCTTCTGAGGATCCCCAAAGCCCTGGACATGCTCAGCTCCCTGAGAGTGTCCCAGCTCTCCAAGCAACTCCCAGTTCCCGGGGGGAACACCAGCTCTCAGGGACCCCCAGCCCCAAGGGAGGTCAGGTAGCTCTGCTCTCATCACCAGCTCTCCCTGTTTTTTGTCACTTCCGCAGTTGCTGTTGCAATAAAAAGTGGGAAAGGCACTGGCTGCCCCTGCTTCCCACTCCGGGGAGGAGCCTCCTGCTCCCAGGGAGAGTCTCCTGATCTGGGGAGGCTGGGGCTGGACTGGGGGGATGTTTTGAGGCCAAACGGTGTGATTATGGGCAAACCCAGGGTGGGTGTGCACAGAGTGTGGCCATTGGAGAGTCCCCTCCCAAAATCCTTAAGGACCCAACAGTGGAGTGAAACTGGAGGAGCCCTGTGCTAGAGCTGCACAGAGTGTCCCAGAGGAGCCCCCAAAACCTGGGATGATGTCCCAGCAGGGAATGTGGGGTCATTTCCCTTCCCCAGTTCCACTTGTGGGTGCTGGAAGATGCCTGGGTGTGATGTGGGTGCCAAACCTTGACTCTGTTGGGCATCAGCAGCTGCTCCAGACCCCTTCCCCACACAAACAATTTTTGGGGGGGGCACAGCCACCCCAGAGCTCGCCCAGGTGCTGGCAGGACAGGTGGGGTGACCCTGGCAGGTGGCACCAGGCCCATGGGACGGGGAAGGTGTGGGTGTTGGGGTGCTGGGGGTGGGCAGCACCCCCGTGCTCTGCTGCCCATTCCATCAACCTCCCAGTTCACCCAGCTCTGCTGCACTGGGTGCACTGGTGCTTTGCCCACCATGCTGGGGCTAAGGGATGTCCCGCAGCCTTACCTTGCCCCATGGGACACCCATGGATGTGCCCCCACTTCCCAACATTTCATTGCCCTGACTGGGAACAGATCAAGGACCGTTTTGGGGAAGGTCAGCTTTTATTTGCAGGATTAAATAGCACGTAGAGAGGAGACAATAAATAGCTTTTAGGGGGAATAAATAACCAGCGAGTGCCCGGGCAGCGCTCGCAAGGTCTGACCGGGGGGTCTCGAGCACTGTGGGGCGATGCTGGACCCGGAGTCACAGCTGCAGCCAGGGGAGTCAGCAATAAATACGGGGTAAAAAAAGCCCCATGGCTGCAAGGCTTATAAATAACTCATAAATAATGAGGTGAGGGGCTGGGAGGATGCCCTGGCTGTGGGTGGGTGCTCTAAAACAAGCACGGGTGAGGGGGATGCGGTGACACGGTCACACTACGGGGGCTCCACGGGAGCAGGGGAGGGTCAGCGCCTGGTGCGGGGCAGGACGCAGGTGCAGCCCACGGGCACCTTGATATAATCCACCTCGAAGGTGACGAGGCCCAGCCCGGTGGGGTGTGGGCAGGGCTTGCGCCGCAGCACCATCATGGTCTGGTAGATGGTCACTGAGTTGAGCGACGTCGTCTCCCGGCCGGTCTTGACATCCACGCAGCCGCTGCACAGGCACTCGGCGAAGGCCAACTTGCGCGGGTACCGGTTCTCGTCCTCGTCGATGCTGCGGGGACACGCTCGGTGAGACCCTTCCCTGTGCCCCCTGGGTCACCCCGGCTGGGATCAGCCAACCGGGGTGCACTGGGAAGGGCGGACGTGGGGGTTGGGGTCCCGGTGGGGTGTCGCGCACTCACCGGTAGCGCCACGGGGAGATGGAGCGCTCGTTGGGTTCGCTGCGGAGGCTGGCACGGCTCTGCAGCGCGGGGCAGCCGTGCGGGCGGTGCCGCCGGTGCCGCCGGTGCCTGGTGCTCTCCAGCTGCTCCAGCTGTGGCACCAGCTGCACGGGCACGTAGCGGTCCCAGCGCAGGCTGCGCCCCAGGAGCTGCGCGGGGGCCTCGTCCCCCAGCTCGGCGCCGCTGTAGCACAGCACGGGGTGGGAGTGCGGGGGACCCCCAGGGCGCCGCAGCCCCCGGCACAGCACCAGCACGCCCAGCAGTGCCAGGGCACCCAGCCAGCCCTGCGGGAGACAGCGGGTCAGGGGACACAGCAATAGCTCCCCACACACCCCCAGAGGGCTCAGGGGTGAGCTGGCACCACCCCCAGACATGGGGGGTTTCGGCACACAGAGCTCCAGCACAGACTCCCCAAAATGTGAGCCTGCACCCACATGTGCACCAGCACCCAGAGCATGAGCACATGTGTGTGTGTATCTATATATATCTGTATTTCTGTATATCTATCTATTTATCTATCTCTATATTTCAATATCTGTATCTATCTATATATTTCTATATCTACATATCTGTGTAGCTATGTCTCTCTCTATATATCCCCACCCCTAAAAATATAGTGCACATATGTGATACATGTATACACACAATATCAATACCTCCCCCCCATACATACACAGTGACTACCTGTACATATATAGACACACAGGGAATATTTGTATAAAAATATATATATATATGTACACAAAGAGGGCTAGAACAGATGTATACACCCCTACACCCCTAAAACAGTGGCATATGTGTGTGCAAGACAGATGTACACACACACACACAAAATCAACATATATCCACAACTATACATACACAGCAACTACCTATATATATATACATATATACACTTATATACACACAGAATACAGAATACACACACACACACACACACACACAGAGGGCCAGCACTCACCTATACATACCCCCAACCCTAAAGCTGTAGCACATATGTGATATAGGCACGTACACACACACACACGTACCCTGAGCTATAAATACACAACAACCACATGTATATGTACACATATACACACACACAGAGAATACTCGTGTGTATATATATGTACACACACATATATATACGTACATATACACATACACATATGTACACACACACACATATACATACATATACACATATGTATGTGTATATACACATACGTATGTGTATACATACATACACACACACGCGTGTGTATATATATATATATATATATATATATATATATATATATATGTACACTCACAGAGCCAGCACACACATATGGCACACTCCAACCCTTACAGGAGTAACATGTGTGCAAACATGCATGTGCACCCAAACATGTTTACAGCTAATCACATGCAGAAACTACCTGCACATACACACACACATGCCCCTATAGACATCTGTATACAGGCACAGACACAGATAGAAAGTACCTCTGTTTGTGTGTGTGTGCATGCACATCTGAAATAATAAATAAACAATAAATACCACTTAAATATAAATAAATAATATAAAATACATATTAAATAATAAAATTATACACAATAAAAATAACTTCTATTGTTATATTAAAATATTATTAAATAAAATTATAAAATATAAACAATACATTAAAAACTTGTGATAATAAATAAAATTATGTGTATTGATAGTGTGTACACACACACACACAGAGTATTGGCACAGGCACACGTGTGTGCACGTGTGAAGACACCAGCACATGTGTAACACACACATTATCGCCAGTGTGTGTGCACACATACATAGGTACAAGCACATATGTATATGTATAAAAATATGCATGTATATATGTATATACATGTATATATGCACATCTACATGCCCACTACCCTGCTGTGCACAGACACAGACACATGCACACACACAGACGGACAGACACCTGTGCACACACAGAGTAGACCCGTGTATGTGCACACACACAGATACATGTACATGCACACACACGTATGTACACATACGTATGGACACAGAGAGACATGTATGTACACACACACACACACACAAACACAGTGGTATCAGCCCCGGTGCATCTCCACACCCACGCAGAGCTGACAGCACATATCCATACATGCATATGGCCAGGTGTGCCAGCACACGTACACACACACACACACACATATCCAAACTGCCCTCTGTGGGCACATGGACACACACATGCCCCTCCCCAGCAGCCACAAACACAGGTGTGCACATAATTCTGGGCAGCCCTTGGAGCACTATATTCCCCCACATAGCATACACATATATACATACAAACGCATAAAACATAAGTATATGCATATAAACACACATAAATACATATGTCCAAGTACAAACCCAGCAGCACGCACCTGTCCACATGCACACGCCTGTTATTGGCACATGTGTATCTACACACACCAGCCTTCATATTCCCACACTTCCAGCTTGGGAATCCTTATGCATACACACACACATAAACACACCTGTGTACAGGTGTGTATGCACACACAGAGCCCTGCACAACATGTAACACACACACACACACACGTATGTGCCCACACACTCCCAGCAGCCCCATGCTCACACCTCCCAGCCCCCCCAAACCCCACGTTACCATCAGCCAGGTGTCGAGGGAACACGCCAAAATTTAGGGGGCAACACGCCAAAATTCTGGGGGGATCCCTTGGGAAGTGCTGCCCCAGGGATGAGGCGGCCGAGTGGCAGCGCTGCCGCTGCCGCCGCCTTTTTATAGGGCTCGGCAGGTGATGTGCACACACCTGGAAACTCCAGCTCCAGGTTCCTTCCTCCTCCCCGCGGGCCGGTGCACTTCCTTCTCTACTCCACGTGTGCCAGCCTGGAATACAGCCTGACACCTCCAGGATTTCAGGAGGGAGGATGGGGAAGGGTGTCCAGAGGCTTGGCTGCCCCGATGACACGGTGATGGGCATCCCCCAGGCCATGCCCTTGCATCACCCAAGCAGTGATATCACCGGGGCTGCTGGAGCAGAAATCCCAAGTTGGGCAACCCTGGAAAGGGCTGAAGGGCAGCGATTACCCCCTGCTTTTTGCTCCAGGATGTCCCAGTGGCCTCTAACAGCACCAGTGGGATACTGGTTTCATGGTGTAAAGAGCAGGGTTGGAGGATGGGAAATTCCAGAGCACTGGGAAGTCAGGGACCCCAAATATTGTTCCTTAAATCAGGGAGATTTATCAGAGGGACCTTCAGATGATCCCATCCGTGGCACTGCCTGCAGAGACTCCCACTTACCACCACCAGTGGGATACTGGTTTCATACTGGGTGCAATAAGCAGGGCTGGAGGATGGAAAATTCCAGGAACCCTAAACATCACCCCTAAATGAGGGAGGTTTATCAGAGGCACCCCCAGATGATGTCCCCTCACTAACATAATACCAGTGTGATACTACTTTCATACTGGGAGCCAGAAGCAGGGCTGGAGCCTGGGACAGGGACCCTAGAGATTGTTCCCTAATTGAAGGGGGTTTATATGGGACACCCCCAGGTGATATCAGACACTGGGCCCCCCACTAACACCAGCAGTGGATACTGGTTTCATACTGGTGCAAGGAGCAGGGCTGGAGGGGAAAGGCACAATGGGGGTTCAGGGACCCCAAACATCAACCTCTAAATAAGGGGGGTTTGTCAGAGGGACCCCCAGATGATGACCCCCACTACCACTGGGATACTGGTTTTACACTGGGAGCAAGGAACAAGATTGAAGGTAGTGAAATTCCAGGGGATTGGGGGTTCAGGGACCCTAAACATCACTCCTAAATGAGGCAGCTTTATAAGAGGCACCCCCCAGATGATGCCAGCCAGGGCACGAGCTGCAGAGCCCCCCACTAACACACCACTGGGATATTGGTTTCATACTGGCTGCTCCCCCAGGAGACAGGGTTGCTCTTCCAGCTCCACGGAGCAGCAGAGTTGGAAAAATAAACTACAACCCCCCTCAAACTGAGGGGTACAGACTCCCAAGGCAGGGGAGAGGGTGGAGATGGGATGCAGAGAAGAGCAGGAAAAGGAAAAATTGGTTATCAAAATACTTTATTTCAGGGAGATCCCTCAAAAAAAAAAAAAAAAAAAAAAAAAAAAAAAAAAAAGAGGGGGAAAAAAAAATCAAAGGAAGAAGGACCCTCCTGTTAGACAGACATGCCCACAACACCTGCAGGGCTCCTGGGAAATCAACTGAACCAATCCGCTGCTCCAAAGAAAGGACAGGTCATTCCCGAGGGGATTGAGGCAAGAATATATATATATTTGTTCCTGGGGGAGGAGGGGGTGTTGCCAGCAGTTCACAGCAGTTTTCGGCTCTCTCGGCACACAGGAACTAGAACTGCATTGCTGAAGACACTCAACACACAGCAGGGCTAACTAGGAGAATACAACTCGAGGCTAGCAAAGAGGGGAGGGGAGAGAGGAGAAGTGGGAGCATCCCACGGGGCTGGAGTCCTCTGTGCAGAATTTACACGGCTCCGGAGCCACTGGCCCTCACGGAGCCGGAGCGAGTCGTCGCAGGAGTCTCGGCTGACAGAACTTCCTTAATTTTTTTGTTTTGTGTGGGTTTTTTAAAAAGAATCGCGGCCAAAATGAAGACAGAACTGCAAAATCCCAAAGTGGCCGCTTTTTCCACTATTTATAAAAACATCAACAGTCACTACAGGGCATGGCCCACTATACTTTTCCCGGGATTTTGGCCCGCTTGCGAGCGATGGCGTCTTCCACCGCCTTGAGCTGCTTCAGGAGCTCCTCCCGCCGTGACAGGGTGCTGGACTTGCCCCCCTTGACGCCTGCAGGACCCGGGTCGGATGCCTTGCCTGGGACACTTGTGACTTTGCTGGAGCTCTTGGATTGAGGGGAGAGCTGGCGTTTCCTGGGAGAGAGAGAAGGGAGAGGTAGGTGAGAGGCACTGGAAAAACCTCAAAGACATCTGCCCTGGTGGGATCATTAAGGATGGAAAAGACATCATCAAGTCCAAGTTTCAACTGGATCCCACCATGACCACTAAACCATATGGAATCATGGAATGGCTTGGGTGGGAAGGGATCTAAAATTTCATCCAGTCCCACCCCCTGCCATGGGCAAGGACACCTTCCACTAGCCCAGGTTCCTCCAAGCCCTGTCCAACTTGGCCTTGGACACTTCCAGGGATGGGGCAGTTCCAGCTTCTCTGGGCAACCTATGCCAGGGCCTCCCCACCCTCACAGGGAAGAGTTTCTCCCTAATTTCTGATCTAAACTAATCTATCAGGAAGTGTCACAGTTAACACATCACTCCAAGAGCTGGTGGGAGAAAACGAGAGGCCTTGGGTTAAAAACTAGCTGAAATAGTAAAAAAAATCAGCTGTTCCAGGGAGATTCCCAGAATAAACTCGGCACCATGGGCTGTGCTATCTCTTGGGTGCAGTGAGCAGCTCAAGGGAGTGGCAGAGAGACAAAGAGGGGTGAGCAGCCCTGGAGCAGCCCCACAATCCCAAATCCTGACAGCCCCTTCCCTGTGATGCCACTGGGCCTTGTGGTGCCCTGGAGAAACCAAGTGTGTCTGTAACCCCCTCCTATCCCCCACATTGGCATAGGGCACATCAAACCCACCACGTGCCACTGCCAACTCAGAGAGCAGCAGGATTAGAGGGTCAGGAGTCATTGATGTGATACCAGCGCTGGGCTGGAATGGCTGAGGTTCCCGTCACCGCTGGAAAACAGGACCTGAGGGCCTGAGGCAGGACAGGGCTGTGGCAGCAGGGTGAGGTTTTGGTTTGGAAAGACTCTGAGACATGGAAATTGAGGCTCGTTCGTGGCCCAAGTTGGGAGAAGGGAAGGGAAGGGATGGCACAAGTGCAGCCAGCCAAGGAACACTGGGATGCATTTGCTTCCAGAGATCCTTGGAGAGATGACACCGGAGAAATGCAAAGCAGCATTGTCTAGCTACAGGCCTGAGAGAGCCCCAGGTGTACCACAGGTGCTCCACAACCTTCAGCCCCTGAAACCACATGTCCAGTCCTGCAATGGGATACTCCCAGTACAGCAGTGGGCATGGCCTGCCAGGAATTTGGATGTGAGCTGGTCACCTGTCACCTGTCACCTCAGGGGATGGCAAAGCACAAAGTCAGGGCTGTCAGGGGACACGTTTTAATGTGTCACAGTAGCAAGGTGAGCCAGGCTGGGAAAAATGGGAATCAGGCACTGGAGCCGGGTGCCAGAAGGAGCTGGGCAGCAGCAGGTGAAGGGGTTGTACTCTCTTGCTCATTAACACTGTGCTAAACGAGGCACTGACGGGGCTCACACCTGACCCACTTGGCTCCTCTTGCTGGGACTGACCTCAAGAAAACCCCTGGGCTCCGGCTCATCTCCAAGCTGGAATGGCTCAGCTTTGCACGGAGCCTTGAGCACCTCTGGCACCTGCCCAGGGAGCTCCGCGTCCTTCCTCCTGCTGTGCTCCATGGCAACTGGGAACTGTAGTCCTAGAGCCTTGGAGCTGCCCTGGGAAAGTGTGAGCCCAGCCTGGCCCACAGGGAGCCCAGAGAACAAGCAGCACTCACCTGTCTGCCTGTGCAGGGGAAGGTTTTGGGTTCTGGCCCCTCTGTCGCTCCTGTTTGGGGGATGAGAGTCTCCCAGTCGCCTTCCTGTCGCGAGAGCCTGTTGGGAGAGGAAAAGAAAGAGGAAGATATTCCTGCTTGTCACCAAGGCACAGTTCACTTCTCTACCTGCTGAACCCCCCCAGCAGTGTATCAGTGCTCTCTTGAAACCAGATCATGCCAAAAAAAGGCCCAGTCCAGCAGCAGCCAGGAAAAGAACCTCCTGCTCCACTACAGGGGGAGCAGAGAAACCAGTGAGGGCTGTGCCCCACCGTCCCCTGTACACATCATCAGCTGTAGGGAGGGCACCGGCCTCTCCTCATCCTCCAGCTGCTGGAATAAGGCATTTTTTGCTTGCAAACCTGTTGGCTCTGCACTGGCAAGGTCACAGGGTGTACTGGCTCAAAGAGTGACAGGTGAGGGCAGTTCTGCTGCTTTTGGAGCCAACAGGACCATCCTACAGGCAACATCACCCCCGTGTTTGTTCACAGGCTGAGCTGTGATGCCCTGCCTGGAACTGTCATGGGGGCTCAGGGATGAGGGGAAGCTCACTGAGGTCCTGGAAAGGTGCTCAGTCCCTCCTGGCAGCAGCACCTCTGTGTGCCAGGGCATCCCTCTGCTCCTGAGGATGGACACTGTGACAGGCCAGGCTCTGGACACCACAGATCCAGGTGAGACAGACTCAGGGTACCACCATTGACCAGTCTGGTGCTGGAACACCGAGGGGCTCAGTCCCAAGGCAGCCAAGGATACCTTTGCCACTGGGATTTGAGGCTTCAGGGCTTGGACTCCCATCACTGAAAGTGTTCCAGGCCAGGGTGGACGGGGCTCAGAGCAACTTGGTCTAGTGGAAGGTGTCCCTGCCCATGGAGGGGGGGTGGAATGAGATGAGCTTTAAGCTCTCTTCCAACCCTAACCATTCCATGATTCTGTGATTTGCTACAGCTTAAAAATTGCTTTATAAGACCAAGACAAGAAATAGCACAGAATTACATCTATGTTTATATCTGTAAAATATGCTGGGTTGGCCCATTCACTCGTCTGCAACTCAGCAGCCTGTGAACTAGATCCCAGTGAACTTCAACCTCAACCAGTCCCGTCCATGCTGCCTCTGCAGGAGTCAAATGCAACCAGGTTATTAGCACACAAATTCTTGCTGGCTGGGACCCAGAGTCAACAAGATCCACCTACAGCTGAGCCACCAGGGAAAACAACATCACGTGGCAGCGCTGGCTCCGACGTCACAACCAGCCACCTCTGGCTGCCAACTCCCCCCACCCCCTGTGCTTTCTGGCAGCGACAGCACAGGCTGGAGTGTGGCATTGAGTTCCCTCTCTTCGGATCACCAGCTCGGTTTTCCGAGGTGTTACAGCCTCTGGTGAGGACTCACGGCCTGGGAGAACACTTGGAAAGCCCGAGTCTTTCTAAACATCCAGGGCAGAGTGGATTGTGTCACACACAAGTGGGGAAATCATCTAATTTCACAGGATGGGTGATGCAGGCAGTTATTGCATCCATCCATTCTGGGGCCTTGGCAGCCCGCACTCCCTTTCTAAGCACCGCCACAAGCTTGTCTGTCAGGGTAAGATTCACTGGGATGCACTGGAATCCAAGGTAGAGAAAACTCCAGGATGCAGTAAAGGAAACTCCTATGACTTAGAATCATGGAATGGTTAAGGCTGGAAAAGACCTTTAAGATCATCAACCCAGCACCACCATGTCCACTAACCATGTCCTCAGGTGCCACATCCACACGGTTTTTGAACACTTTTCCAGGGATGGGGCCTCCACCACAAAATGTTCCCTAGTACCCAATCTAAACCTCTCCTGACTTTGACAGCCACATCCAAGGACACCAGCAGCGAGCAGGAGGCTGTGGAGGGATGGATATGGAGGTGAGTGCTCTGTGTCTTTAAAGCAAGGGGGTTATTTTTTTGGAAAGGACTTACATGGACACAATGGAGCCACAATGGGCACAATGTGCCCAATGGACAGTGTGGTAAGGCCAGGTTTGGTCTGACCTCACCCACACCAGGGCCCCCCTCCACCGTGTTTTTGCAGCAGGATGGGCAATACAGCCCCAGTATCTGGTGGCAATCACACACTCTGAGGTTTTGGAAGGACACATGACTGTAATTAATCTTTCTGGTTACTGGATTCTTGGAGCAGAGGCTTTCACGGGACATTTGTCACCCAAGCACTGCCTGGAGCAGGAACCTGGAGCAGGAACCCAGGCAGGCCAGGAGCCCAGGGATGGCTGATGTCTCACCTCTGTCAGGGGACAGGTTGGCCCGTTTGGCTGGAGGGGAGGTTGGCCTGTCCTTGTCTGCTGGCTCGTATCTCTTCCTACTTCCTTTGTCAGCTGCCTGAAATGGAATTAGAACAGACAACGGAGCTGAGCAGCCACTTCCCTCCAAGGAACCATCATCTCCCTGCGATGGTACCTGGCTCATGCAACCACCTCTCCCATTAAACTCTTTCCACACACCAGTCCCAACCTCCCCTGGATCGTGTCATTCCCAACCACCAGAAGGCAACGGCAACATCCTCTTGCACTGGGGGTTAACGCTGCGCTATTTTCAGAATAGAAACAGGAAAACAGCAGCTTTTTGGGATGTTTTCTTTTTCCAGCAGCACCAAGGATAGCAGATGTTAAGGAGGCATGTGGAGCCCTGCCTTTTCCAGGCTCTGAGGGTGCTGGCAGTCATGTGTCACTGCACACTCCTCCCTACAGAGCAGCTTCCTGGCCATGATAAAGCCGCCTCACGTCAGAGCACAGGGAAGTAGAAAAATCTGCAGCCTCAGACTGTGCTGGGGAATTTGGGCTGTCAGAGCAAAATATTAACGCTTCAAAAACAGGAACCTGCCCACGTGAGCGGGGCCAACACCCTGCCCCGGCACAAAACCCCACGAGGCCAAACTCTCCCACATGATGTGGATTGCGATCACTGCTGGAGGCTCCCAACTGGGGCAGCGGGATCAGTGGGAAAGGGGGAAGAGCCAAGTGGGCACACTTTTACCTCCTGACTCGAGTGAATGACTCGTCAGCAGCTCGCTCCAGTGGGAGGGGAGCGTGCTCGGAAGCGTGCCGGGAGTATGCTCCCAGTGGGAAAGGCCCCGGCACATGTGGGACTCTGGCTGCAGCCTTCGAGCAAGCGGGAAGAGCCCTTGAAGCTGCAGCAGGAATGTGCCCCAGGGAAGCCGCCAACACAGTCGCAAACTGAAGCCACCACAGGGTGTGTTGCTGCCAGACTGGTTCTGTCTGCCGCCCTCCAATCCAGCTCCAGATCTTCCTGGCTGAGCTCATCCTGCCAGCATGGAGCCTGGAGCTCCCCTTCCACCCGTATCCATCCCACCCATTGCTGGGATCCCTTTGAGGAGGGAATCTCAGACATCCACCCCCCTCACCTTGTTCAGGAGGGTCAGTTTGATCTCCTTGTGCCCACTGAAGCCGCCCTGCTGCGACTGGGGAGCTGAGGGCTGCTGGCTCTGGAGCAACTGCTGGGATTTGCTGCCCTGGGTGGGCTTGGCTGATTTCAGGAGCTGAGCAGGCACATCCCGTTTCCGCTTCTCCTCTTTAGCACTGTCTTCTTTTTTTGACTTTCCTGTTGAAACCAGAGAGCAGATGTGGTGACTTAGGACTGAATCCTTTGGAGGGCAGGGCAAGAGGACGCTGCTCCAGGGACTGGAAAAGCCCACATCAGTTTACACAGCACGTGGCCCCGGGGTCAAAGGATTCAGGAAACCAGAATTTCCAAAGAGAGGAATATAAAACACAAAGAACAAAAGGCTTTTGCCGCCAACTCTGCTACGGTCTAAAAACAACAAAGAAAGAGTAACATGATACCGGAGTTGTCCGGATTTTCATCACCTTCCAAGGGTGAAAGAGAATAAGAGGAAGAACTCTCAGGGAGGTAAAGGCATGAGACAGCCACGGGCACAGGGATGGAAGGATGTGAATGTAAATTTGCTCCATGGCCTCACCCTGCCCAGGTGACACCTCTGGGCTCCCCTGGTCTGTGCTCAACGATTTTCCTGGAGCCCACAAGTATTCCCAAGTAAGTTATATAGGATCATTACTCTTCCCTTCTTTTCCCAGGACTCCATAGAGGAAAAAGCACTAAAGCAGGTACCTCTACCTTTCTTCTGCTGGGCTGGGGTGGGGGAGCGGGAGCTGGCCGAGGACACGGGGCTGGCCAGGTCCGCGTACATGTCCTCGGAGTCGGCGCTGCGCACGGAGCTGCTGCTGGACGAGGCACTGGACACTGAGGAGACGCTGCTCACGCTCAGGGACCTGCAAAGAAACAACAGCTCAAGAAAGCAACAACAATCAGGCAGTGGTGAGACCTTTTTCCATTCCCCTGGCTGGATGTCAGGAAGCTCAAAGGCAGGCAACAACCAGGAACAAAGGCCGTGTGTCCTGGGGTGCCGATGATATGAAAATTCCCAAACACGTAAGATGTACACCTAGAAAGTAATTAAGGCAACATGTAAACAGGTCACTGTTTGCCCAGAAAAACAAGGAGTGAAAGCAGGGTGTGCTGTCACAGGTCAGTGTTATGGCTCAGGGCAAGGGTTCCCTGGCAGGGTTTCTGGTGTTGGCAAACATTTACTGTCACGACAGGTAATGACAGGGAGGATGCCTCCAAGATGGTCATCTCCTAATAGTGTCTATCCCTGGAAGTGTTCAAGGCCAGGATGGACAGAGTTGGAGCAACCTGGTCTAGTGCAAGGGGGGGTTGGACTAGATGAGCTTTAAGGTCCCTTCCACCCCTAACCATTCCAGACATACGTTAACTCCATGAATATTCAGGCAGCCTCTCCAGCCTGTTCCACAGGCCACACCAACCTGCCCTGCCAGCAAGATCCAGGCTCCCTGGCTGGAGGCTGGATTGGGATAACTGAACAGGCTGTGGCAGCTTCAGCACAGACCAACCCTGCTACAAACTGCAGAGTCTGTACCTGCTGGCATCATAGAATATTCTGAGTGGGAAGGGACCCACAAGGATCATCAAGTCCAACTCCCATCCCTGCACAGGACACTCCAACAATCCCACTGTCCCAGAGTGTTGTCCAAATGCTGCCTGAGCTCTGGCAGCCTTGGGGTTGTGACCACTGCCCTGGGGAGCCTGTTCAGTGCCCAACCACCCTCCGGGGGAAGAACCTTTTCCTGATATCCGACCTAAACATGATGGAGCTGAGCTCTGAGAGGTCACATGGATTGTTGCAACGGTTACAGGATGAGCCAGAAACTCCTTGTCCAGGCTACAGGATGTCACAGCAAAGCTGTTTTGGGCACACACCGTATTTCCTCTGTTTTCCCCTTCCCCACACCCCTAGAGAAGCAGCACCCACAGCCCCAGAGCCACACAAGCAACTCCTGTGTTCATTTTTCCCACCCGTGCCCAGCTCTCTGAAGCTCTTGCATCACCCCTGAGCTGATGAATGTGACAAGCATGTGGTAAACAAGTTTGGATTTCTGAAAAATAACACGGATGTTGAAGCTTGGAGTTCCACAGAGTTCAGGGATGTGAATTACAGCTGCTCAGAGTCAAATCCTGCCTAATCCACTAGTTTTGCACTACAGGTCTACCCTTAAATCTGTGTCCCAGGAAAGTGCTGTGTTTCAAGGCTCTGCCTGTGAGCTTTCAAGGACTCTTGTGTGTGAACAGATGCAAAAGCCTGAATGAATGACTCGAAAGAGGTTTATTTTATGACTCTTTGCTGGAGGGAGTTTCGTGTCTACACATCCCACAGACTAACAGCCTTAGAACTGTTCACTTGGGGCTAAACACAAAAGGAACTGGCTGTGCAACTTTACCAGCAAAAGAAAAATATCATTAGCTGGGCCTTTCAGGGATTTTCTGACCTACCTCTTCTGACAGGCCAAGCATCTTCCCTAAGGACATGCAAGAACCAGAGGTAGGAGAGCTTTGGGAGAGGGAAGCTCTGTAGCCTGAAACTGTTCACTTGTAAAGCAATTAGGATGTGGTTATAAGATCTTTTGGTAGCAATTTAGGCTAAATGGGCAGTTGGGCACATGTGACAAGCTAATTTCCATGAATAAACCACAAGGAAAATATAGAATCATGGAATGATTTGGGTTAGAAGGGACCTGAATGATCACCTAGTTCCATCTCCCTGCCATGGGCAGGGACACCTTCCACTAGACCAGGTTGCTCCAAGCCCCGTCCAGGGCCTCCCCACCCTCACAAGCAAGGATTCCTTTCCAATATCCCATCTAAACCTCCCCTCCTTCAGCTTAAGGCTATTCCCCTTCATCCTATCACTCCATGCCCTTGTGAAAAGTCCCTCTCCAACACTGTACTCTTGTCACAATTCAGTACTGGGGATCTGTAACACAAAACCAACTTTATCCCACCTCCCAGTCACCTGTAGCCTCTGCTACTGGAAGCTACAGAGAGTTTTTGCTGCAAAAAAACACAACAGTGAGGAACAGTCACAATCTCTCCTACTTAAATAACAGTAATGAAGGGTCGCGGATACCTGGATTTCCTGGACCCAGATGGGGAGTGGGAGACTGAGGCAGAGGATGATCTGGAATGAGATCTGGAGAGAGACCGAGACAAGGACCTGGATCGGGAGCTGGAGCCGCTGTAGCTGCTGGCACTGCCACTGATGCTGCCACTGATGGTCCTCCTGCAAGACAGCAAGTGACACCATCACACAATAGTAACTGCAAGGAAAAGGAGAGAGAGAGGGGGAAAAAACCCACGAGAAACAAGTGATGCACAACAGAGTTGCTCACCACCCTCTGATCAATGCCCTGAGCAGTGGTTGGCCTCTTCCAGCCACCTCCCCCAGTTTATACACTGGGAATGATGTTCTGTGGTGTGGAATATCCCCATGGCCAGTTTGGGTCAGCTGTCCAGGCTGTGCTCCCTCCCTCCTGAACATGGAAAACTCAGAAGTCCTTGACTTAGGGTGAGCTACTGAGCAACAACCAAAACATCCACGTTATCAACATTATTCTCATCCTAAATCCAAAACACACCAGACACTAAAAAGAAAATTCACTCTATCCCAGGACAGCTTCCTGCAAACCAGAATTTCTAACTGTGCAATGCAGTGGAATATCTCGTATTTCAGGCTGTACAAATAACCCTACGCATTTTTGGGACTAGAATATCAGTCCTAAAATAAATAGAGTTGTTCTGTCATTTGGAGAGTGTAGGACAGTGGGTATAAGCATGAAAAAAAACACCTTGAAAATCCAAGATTGGAATAAAGGGAAGGTGGCTAAAAACATCTGAGATGAATATTAATCATTAACTAAAGAAAGAGAAACAGAAACTAGAACTGATAGAGTTTCTAGAGAAAAGAAACCGTCATCATCAGTTTTCATCAACGGAGACAGAACTGCACAGCCCAGGCACTCAGCTTCTGGGAAGAAGGAGGAGATCCAATGCCATGGAAAATTAAGAACTGACTTAGGATGCTTCTGAAAACCTGAGT